TTAGCAATTTCAAACTTTGCATTTCGTAAATATTGATATTGACCAATCTGTTTGTATTTCAAAAGATTGTAACATATTTCAATTAAATTTTTAAAAAAAAATAGTAAATAACTTAGTGTGTATTGCTGTTCATATCATAAATGCTAGAATGTTGTATGTAAATGGTATGCAAATTAATATGCAAATTTATGCTAATTAGGCCTGCCCCCCAGCTGTTTTGGATTGTGGAGAACACTGCTACATACCATACATGTAGTATCACATTAGGTGCATCACATTGCATTACATCATTAAACAGTGTTCTCAAATGCATTACATCACACTACATACCATAGCATCACTTTAGGTGCATCACATTGCATCACATCATTAAGTAGTGTACTCAAATGCATCACATCACATTACATATCATAGCATCACATTAGGTGCATCACATCACTAAATAGTGTTCTGCAATGCATCACATCACACTGTATATCATATCATCACATTAGGTGCATCACATTGCATTGCATTACGTCACATCACATTAAATAATGTACTGCAATGCATCACATCATACTACATATGATAGCATCACATTAGGTGCATCACATCACTAAATAGTGTACTGCAATGCATCACATCACACTGTATATCATAGCATCACATTAGGTGCATCACATTGCATTGCATCACGTCACATCACATTAAATAATGTACTGCAATGCATCACATCACACTACATACGATAGCATCACATTAGGTGCATCACATTGCATCACATCACTAAATAGTGTTCTGCAATGCATCACATCACACTACATATTATAGAATCACATTGGGTGCATCACATTACATTGCATCACATCACTAAATAGTGTACTGCAATGCATCACATCACACCACATACGATAGCATCACATTAGGTGCATCACATTGCATCACATCACTAAATAGTGTTCTACAATGCATCACATCAAACTACATACCATAGCATTACATTGGATTGTACTATATTGCATTGCATTGTTTCACACTACTTCACATCACACTGCATTGCACTGCAGCACATTGCATCTGACTGCATCACTTCGCATCGGACCAAAGCACTGATTTGATTTGACAATCTAACCCAACATGTCTTTTTGTATTGACAGCAAAAGAATACTCCTGTCTCAGTTGTTGATGTTGGCAGTGAGAACCAATCAGCACAGTGGTTGCATGCATTGGATGTCATAGATAGATGTAATGGATATCTATCTGATATGTGTATGAGTAATGATGTCACTATTGTAATAACTGGTGATAGCAATGGATATATCACTCTCTATATCATGCAACAAGACAGAATATGCTTACATAAAAAGGTATGTATTGAACGACTAAATATATTATATTTATAAAATTAAGAAATGCACTTTCTAAACAGCGAGAAATGTGTTATTTTCAAGATGATAGGTATGTTTTATTTCAATAAAATTCCACCGATTATCACCACATTAGTCAATGCAGTGAATGGGCTGCATACAACAAACATTGGATTGAGAAGATGTATAATAATATGAGGATACCGCAAAATATTCACTGAAGGCAGAACATTGTCGCAACAACCCCTGGATTTTTTTTCAAAACATCTTGTTTTTGAAACTTCAAATTTGTCTTCATTTTGCATCAACCTCACTTCACATCTTTTTGATCAGTTCACTTCAACTTAGCATTCGCATGATTCATATCCGAAACATGCATAGCATTTTTTTGAGCTTGGATCTATGTTAATATGAAGGTTAATTTTGGCATTTTTCTGCTCTCCAGATCCACGCTGGGTTGATTTCTGATGTCAAAGTTCACAACGGATTCATATATACTGCTTCACATGATAGGACAGTGAAAATATGGGATGGAAAAGACTTCAGACAGGTGAGTGCCATTTTGGTGACAGTTATACGCAATACTGCTGTGTTACTCTACAAATGACACTCCTCAGGTGAGTGTCATTGCAGGATAGGTGGTATACCCACACTGTACCAAGTCTTTACCCAGTATACCACATTTCTCGGCTTAGTGACATTTCAAGATGCAGAATGAGTAATCTGCCTAACTATGTTATACAGTATATTAGTAATAAGTTTTGCCCATCCTGTACTATAGCTACTATATCCTTATGTAATGGTTTGAGGCTATAACGTTTAGTTTAGTTATTTGCATAATGATATTTATACATTGTATGGAACATCTTGTGAGTATTTAGACTCAGTTCCAGGCCTAGCAGTTGGGCAATAAACACCTTGGCTACAAGTGCTCCTTTCCAGTGCGTTATTCTCCTCCCTGATTTTGTGACCAATACTCACTTGATTCACTCTGCCTTGAGACGTCTGTTTTCTGTTTACACCTTACTGTACAAGTATTTTCTAAAGACCTATTGTAAAAATTTATAATTTTTTTTTTTGTAGGTTGGACAATTCTTCTGTCAAGCTCCTGTCAGCAGCCTAGTCAAAGCACCTCAACTTGGTAATGATTCATTCCTCTGTGGAGACACCTTAGGCAACCTGTATTTCTTAAAATGGCAGTCTTAAACAAATCATGATTCCTGTATTTTTTAAATTTGTAGAAATTTGTATAATCAAACTTAAGTTATATTTGAATGATTCAGAATATGATAAATGCAATTTTTTGGTTTATGCTCACTTCTATTCCGAAAAAATAGTAGTTGTTAAATTAATTTAATGATCAATTTTCATCAATGGAGACAACTGGGATAGTCAATTTCTCTATGTTCAATACAAATGTGCCATTCATCTGGTCTTGCCTTGATTTAGCATACTCTGCAACTTTCATGTGCAAATTTGTAGATAACCACTGGAGGGCGCTCACTTCCTGTTTCTAGTTGCATGGTGGGTCAATTCTTCAGGCCATTACATGTTATGCAATGAGGTAACTTCATTCATCAAATGCTGTTTAATCAAATAACACAGTATAAAAAATATGTTAACATTTACACCGACATACACAAATTATTGACTTTGTATTGAAGTTAAATTCTGTATCAATGTTATTATAGTTTATATGTCCAAATAATTGAATCTCAAAATGCTACTAAGGGGCGATAGTCGTCACAATGCGCATTTGTTACATTTGTGTTGATTAACATTGTTTTTTTCCCATAGTCCACTGTGCTTTTTCAATTAAAAATCACAAGTATGAGTATTGCCATGGGCGCCACTTGCACTAATTACCGCTGGCCACTCCTTCGATACCTTCCAAACACTATAAAAAATACCCAATTAAAACTTGGTAACATCTCAGTTCCTACTCGTTGATCTGCGCAACAGTTAAAATCACCATCTTTATATGAGACCCATATCTCGTGCATGCGCAGCTCGACAAATAATGCCCTTTAAAGAAAGGATCATAAATCAAACTTAGATTTTAAGAAAACAGTTTTAGTGGTAAAACCCTGTGTGCATAATTCTACTTACATACACAATGAGTGAATTAAAGACGATATCAAGATCAAAACAGGAAGTTGTGATGAATTGTGGAAGTAAAATTATACCCATCTACCTCTAGCGTAAAGGTCATTTACATGTAGAAATTTTTCGTGCTGTTGCATATATTGAATACTGTAGAATACTTTATTTTCGCTTGAAATTTATTTTCGCTATTTTCGCTGAAGGGATGATTTCGCGAAAAAATAAAATCCAGCAAATATACTTTTTTTCCCATATTTCACATTAAACTCATCAAAAATCAGTGAAAATAAATTCCATACAAAACGCCCCAAAAGCCTTTTCAGCAAAAATTAATTACAGCGAAAAAAAAGTATTCCACAGTACATAAACCACATTTCTTTCAAGGTTATAGATTTCTTCATTTAAATTATCAATTTTTTTTTTCAGTTTTGAGATGTACAATAGTTTTAGTTTTGTAAAGTCTGTGTCGTCTACAATACGATATTATTTCATACATGTTTGTATTTTTTTTAAGAATTTTTACATTGCTGTGTATAATAAGTAGACATGTACTTACTGTATGTTATTGTGGGTACCCTGGAAATGCAATCTGTGACAAACAGCTAAGTTTCCATGGTAACCATATACATTATACTGCACCAATTGTTTTTGTTGTCATCACATTCCATTTCAAGATCCATAATGCAAGTTATTTATTTTAATATCAGTCAAGGTATGTACTTTAACAATAAAATAATTCCTCACAAAAAAAATTTTTTTCGAGGTTTCAATATTTTTTTTTGTATTTTATTTTTATTGTCATTTACAATAAATGATGTTCAATCAATTTATATGGTTTTGAAATAAATTGTTCATCACCAATCCTCCTGCTAGACCAATGGTAATGCTTATTGGTGCAATATATTATTGTATTGTATGTGTAGTTTATTTTCAAAAGCTTTAATACAGCAATTACCAAAACTGAAATGTCAGATTTCATTATTAAGGATGTAATAAAGCATTATTCTATTCTATTCTATTCTATTCTATTCTATTCTATTCTATTCTATTCTATTCTATTCTATTCTATTCTATTCTATTCTATTCTATTCTATATATTATGGATAGTCACAGTCCACTACTTACCACCTTCAGCATAAAAATTATGTCATTCAGCATAATTTGGTTTCTATTACTTTGATTTATTACTCTTAATAGTCTGGACTTTTTTTTTGTTTTACAAAGAGAAATAATTAATTTTTCTTTTAGTACTTTTAGCGTGATCACAAAAACTAACCTGGACGCTAAAGAAATCCCGACTGGATGCATCTGCGGGCATTTGACTGCTATTAATTATTCATGATGTCATTGATTATTCATGAGTGGGTGTGTGAAGTAACATGACCTTTAAGGGTTGATTCGATTGATCGC